TAAAATAAATTGTTCCCTTAACCCATCAGCCTCAGCAATATGTTAGCATGCTATCACACTCGACAAATATGGTAAATGTATATTTTATTTTAATCAATTTAATATTGTACCTGCTAAACACCAGAATTATTATTGTTAGCATGTCAGTATGCAGACAATACAGCCTCACAGAGAAACATCTAGGTTTGCTATCATTTAGTAAAATTATAACACAGTATGCAGAACACCAGATTCATTGATTACATTGAACCAAAGCTAATCAACCTTTTCCTCTCTGGGGAGCTAAGGTCAATCACTCAGATTTTCTGTGGAGGTTTTTCTCTTTGTTTGACTGAGATGATAGATCCTTTTTAGAATGTGGAATTGTGAAGCTTTTTGAGACTATAACTGTAATTATAGCTCATGCAGTTACACTTGACATTAATTGTGTAATTTCCCTCGCTCCTTGACTCTGTTCACAATAAAAACACAACAATGCCTGAAAAGCTTGCGCACTAACTGACTCTGTATTCTTCAGAAAGGCGGCCTTTCAACACCTGGCGTTCAAGAGCTTATTGCCATGGCTCAAGATAAGATGTCGATCCTCTGGTGAGGAAGTATCTAAAGCTTCATTCTCAAACACCTGCCTGAAAATGAAGACACAAGTGTCGGGGGGAAAGTGTCAGAACCTACTGATAACATCAAGAGTAGCATCAAAGTCAGACTGCTCTTTTTTAAAATAAGAAACACTTCAGGATGTCATGTTTTATGATTATCATATTGGGCAAGGGGCATGAATTTTTAAGCCACTGTGAATATTTTAATTTTCTCTTCTTTTCTTGTCTTTCTTTATCTTTTTTCTGATTTTCTCTTTAAATTTGCATCACAATTTAAGGTCACTTTCTTGTCAAAATATGACAATGCTAACAAGCAGTTAAAAACTCAATCTGTGCTGCCAAACTTTGTTCAAACCCACAGAACTTTATTTTAAATCCAGGCGTAAATCAAAGTTTCGAAAGATATCATGTATGTTGAGCTGAGTTTGGGGGAAATATGTATTCTTCTATTCTGTGTGTAGTCTTGGGCTTGGGTATTTCACTCTAAACATCACACAGCTTCAATTAAAAGCAGGAACAAATTGATACAGAATATATGAGCCATGGCAGTCTGAAAACCTGTAATATTTTGTGTACTATTGCACTATATTGCATGTTTTTGAAATAGCAGAAATCCATTACAGTGCAGGTAATTGCTTTGAAGTAGTAGTAGCAACAATTTAAGTTCTTTGGCCTAGAACATTTGGTACATCCCCTACTCACGCGTTTTGCTTCTCAAATATCTGTAATGAAATGCTGCCAATGAGGATAAGAGAGCACAAGGGTTATTGTGAGACTCTTCTTTGTACAGAGCACCAGATGCCTGCAGGGAGAATGGGTGTGCTCTGGCCAAGTCAAATACCCAGGAAACACCTCTGACACGTGCCAGGAAATACTGCAGAGAGCCACTAAAAAAATCGGTTGCACAGATTAAAATCATGTTTACTCAAAATGATTCATTCATGTTCAGTAAATTCAATTACTATCTGTAAAACACAGCTTCTTTCTCTATACACAAAGGTTTTCATGTTCAGCAACCTAATCTGCTCATAGGTTTCACACAATTGAGTTACAAAGCTTTGACATGTTTTGTTTATCAAATCTACATAAATATTAAAAGTAAATGTATTTTGTACATCATTAGACCTGGTCTTGTTAAATCTTTTAAGTCCAGTGTGTAAAATAACTTTACAGAGCTTTACAGGGTTATTTTCAGCACACACACAGAGTGGAAAAAATAGAAGACTGTGAGGAGATATTCACAGAATTTGAAACATTTAATTTGAAAAAAAAATCATATTACCCAGAATCACTTAATCCCCTTTTAACTGGCTTGTAATTAAAGGTCTGGTGTGATATTTAGGCAGAAACTGACTATAACATTTATAGGTATGTGTTCATTAGTGTATAATCACCTAAAAATAAGAATTGTTGTGTTTTCGTTACTTTACAATGAGACGTTTTTATCTAGTCATGTTTCTACGGTAACCCAGAACAGACAAACTAGACACTGGATCTAGATGGGGCTTCATGCGTTTTTCACAAGTTTTTGCACTTGGAAGGTTGAGTTGGCTAAATGCCACTGGAACCTACACACTGGTCCTTTAAGTACAACATTTACTGTATGTACATTTTTGAAAGAACATATGGCAATAAGCAAAAAAGAGATTTCTTGCACTACAAGAACTTCCACATTTATTTGGTGCTTCCACAGTTAGAGTTAGAAAATCATGTGGGTTTTAGTTACTGTTTTTTGATTCACTAGCACATTGGTTTTTGAATAGTCGACTGGTATTTTCTGGTATTTTATTTCCATGACTGGGGATGTTTTTAGAGCTTAACAAGATACAAACATTAAATTAAATTCAAAACAACTGAACCATAATAAATTAGACTCATCAGGTAGTATTGATTCTTGGCCTAAATCAATATCATCATTCTGGTCAAACAGAGCAGAAAGATTGTTGGTTTAGAATAAGATAAGATAAAATGTTCACCATGGATCATGTTATTGATCCACCGTGGGAGAAGTTCATGTTTGACCCAGCAGCATAGGAGAATTCTTATTTCTCATTCATAACAGTGTTGATTTGTCAGGATGCCTTCTTTGTCGAGCCATTGTTGCCATAATGGTCTCTAGTGCTTCACCTATCTGTCCTCTCTCTATGAAGATATCCAGCAGCTTCAGCCAGGTTGCACATCTGGACTGCAGGGACTGGTGGTGGTAATACATGAATTCTGCATTTATCTGAAAATAAAGAATAATAACAGACATAGAAAATAATGTACAACAGCAATTTATTAATAAAATAAACGTTGTTTGAAGGTTTTGATGTTACCACGGACTAGAGTGTTTGGAGCACCACGCTGTCGCTGTCCTCACACATTTCTAATTGAGTATGACTCCCACGGAGAATTTGGAGCATCACTCATAGCAAAGCAGAAGTCAATCAATGCCATTGACTAGAGAAACACCATATATATATATATATATATTTTAATAATTTGAAAACAATGTTTTCGCTCTCTCTCCCTTTTTCAGAGATGGGAAGGAGGAGGAGACGGGGTGGGGCTTGTTTTATAAAATGTGAAAGATATGAAGTTTTACAACTGTCATTTCACTATCAAATCATAGCAGAGCAGTGTTATTTCTACACTTTAGAGAGAGGGAAAATGTCGCATCTCTGTGGATGAGGGAGGCCTGCAGTCATATCACTGTCCCGAGATCAAGGTCGTCGGAGTGACTGCTTCAAAGTGATTTCTTACTTTTCACCTAAAAAATTTATATGTTTTCTGTACTTTGTACTTTGATGTTTTATCTTTTAAATAATTTCAGAGTGCATCTATGCATAGTGGATGTTTATGTTATGGGGTAGGCTACAACTTCCATCAACCTATATGTAGCTATTCTCATGCGAACATACTGAAACACATGCACATAATGTGGCAAAATTTACTTTGGTTGTGTTTGTTAATAAAACATCTATAAATTGAACTGAATTTAGAAAGATTCCATGTTCACTTGGCTCAACCTTTGAGTTATTTGAGTACCTGAACATGCCTAGAGACAGACTTTCTGAAAAACTTCAAAAGAGACCTGCCAGCTGAAAAACCTCCATCACCTCTCCAAGCACTTCTAAACAGCAAAAGGAAGAAGAAAAAAACGGTCCAAATATATGACACAAAGCTCTATTATGTTATGTTGTGTGTGTATGTTATGTATGTTTTTTATTTATTGTTTAACTTTATGGGCCCTAAATATTTATTTTTACATGTTTTACTCAGCATTGGTTGATTAGGACAGGAGCACTGTTATATTCTATGGATGAATAAATTGAACCTTACACTTTGATCAAGGCTCATTTCTGACTCTGTCAGGGCTAGTACTATGAGGCCATAGACACTCTGGGCCCCTTCAGGGTCCCATATTAATTGGATGTCAGTTGTTTTTGCTAATATTGGGTAAGCTGTTATAGTAAAATCTCATACTATGACAAACACACTGGTCCTTGAACTGCAAAACTGGTTGGGAACATGTAAGTAAGTAAAGCTTTATTTATATAGAACTTTTTTAACACAAGGTTACAAAGTGCAACAAAAATAAAAAACACACAAACATACATATCGGTCTATATATATGCATATATACACTTAAATATGCATGCATAACCATACCCAATCAAACATACATAGGGAGCATGTAAATACAAACATAAGGAAGATAAACATGTATAAAATATCAGCTGAAATATCAAAGAGTCTTTGCATTATCACCTCTCTTACCCGGCTTGTGTCAAACATACAGAATAGTTTCCTAAAGAAATATTTGATGAATCAAATGACTAGACAAACCCCCCCATATTTGAGCCTTGTAATGCTGACTGACTCAGTCTTCTTCAAGTCTTTTCTTTTTTGGATTTGGATCCAGCTAGGCAGACTCAAGAGAGAGCCACCATTATTGAGGTTCGGCAAAATATAGAGGAAAAGGTGCAGGTCAGAATGTAAGGTATTAATCACATTTTGGTTGACAAAATGTGACCAAAAAAAGTATTATTATTATTATTATTTTATATTTGTGTGCAATGGCTACACATTTTTACAACTGGTGAATGATAAATGAAAATGTTAAAAAATAACCACTTCTTTAGTCCCTGGAGAGATCTCCAGAGCTGCAGGTAATAATAATGACCCTGATGAGAGAAAGAAGACCAGAAATACAAGCAGACTTGATTAAATCATTTTAACTGATTTTTAACAAGAAAAGAGACGTGTATTGTAAGTTATTTTACATAAAGAAAGGAAAGAGGAAATCCAGCTGTGTGCCAGCTCTCAGCGGCCGCTCAGGGAACTGCATCAAGTGGGAGGAGGAGGAGGAGGAGGAGGAGAGAGGAAGTTCTCCAAAACTTTTTTTTTTTCCCTGAAAAGATTCTGGAGAAGCTCCGTTAGATTTCCAGAGGAAGGGGATCCGACCAGAAGAATAAAGAAAGCGCAAGGGGGAGATAACGGTGTCAAAAAGTTCATCCCTTCTTCTGTTTTTGTCTCCTCACATGAAAGGTAAAAAGGGACGCGTGTGTTTGCCTTTGTCCTGTAGTTTCTTCCCACACTGAGAGGACTTACACCATCAGAGGCGATGAGATGTGAGTGAGCTATGCCTTGTGGAAATGGACAGACTTTAACCAAGCGAAAACATGGCGTCTGCGTCCCGAGGTTTAGCTTCTTTTCCACTCTGCTTGTGGCGCTCTGCTGCCTGGAGGCATGGGGCTCCGGGCCGCAGGGGGACGGCGGCAGGAGCTGCAGCCCCTGTCCCGTTAACTGCAGCTGCGCGCTGGCGGGGCCCCAACCGTCCTGCGTCGTCAACTGCTCCAACAGCGGGCTGGAGAGGGCCCCGGCAGCGGCGGACATCCCGCTGGCCACCAACGTGTTGTAAGTAAAGTGTCCGAGGCAGGCTGAGGACGACAGGGATGGACAGTGCAGGGTACATTCAGAACCATTTAACCAGGCTATAATGGTTGGGATAGTTTTTCATCCTAATGGGGGACATTTACTGAAGTTTGACAACATGTCAAAGAAGTAAAGGCCTGATATGCTACTTTCTCCCACTATATGTTTTTAAATTGTTTTTTGACAAATTCATAGATTTCTGTTGGTTTTTGTTGTAGCTGGCTATGTGGTGGTCAGGAACTAGGGTCACAGGCTGTTTGACCATGTTTGTATTTACACTACATCACTTTTTCCCATCACCCCAAACCGAGAGAATGATCTCACTCCAAGTTCATTTGTGCTTTTGTTTTTGTTGTTGTTATGTGTGGAGCTGAGTCAGTTGGTCGAATAGCTAATTGACTGGTAGATTGATTGGTCAATCAGCAGCTATTTTAATAATCAATTACTCATTTTTTGATTCACAAAATGCCAAACAGTAAGTGTATCTATTAACTGCAGTTTTATCATTGGAAGTTGGTCCAAAAAAAAAAAAAAAGTACAAATTGAATATGGTGACCTTTGGCTCTGGGAAATTGTGAAAGGTATTTTTCACGATTTTCTGACTTTAGACATAATGATTATTCAAGAAAATAATTTGTAGGTCAGATAATAATGAAAATAATTGTTGGTTGCAGTTATGCGTGGGCACTGCATTAATGGATTAATGTGCGCACCAAACCTGCAGTGTGTGCACCTGGATGTAAGACAGAAAAATATAAAAACAACATTTCCAGAAAAAACATGCAAAATCTGGATACACCTAAAGATAGAAATAAATAAAAAAACAAGTGTGACCTTCTACATTTAAAGATCACCTGTTTTGTGTGGTGTATCAAAGGCCAGAGTGACAGTGCGAGTGTGGATGTATTTGTTTTAGTGTGTGCATGTGATTGGTAGTTTAAATGAAGCTGGTCACCAGAGAAGTGAACCTGGTGTTTGTGGTGCAGATCAGTGTTCAGCCTCTGGTGCTGCAGCGAGAACATTCTGTTCTGCACCGACAGAAGACATATGTTATCAATTATTTATTTCCCCTTGCACTAACTTCTTTTATTTAACTTAAAGATTTACCATATACACCGGGATTATAATCAATGCACATTATTTTGGAACTCGTTTGCTTCACTTTGACTTTGACTAACTAAGCTCAGAAGTATTGTTTAAAATTAGGTTTTAGAAGCAAGTAAACTGTGTTTCAGCTGAAATTCTTCACAATAAAAGCCAGTCAGCATATTGATAACATTTCTAATTGTTTTAATGTATTTAAACCTTCCCTCTGATCTCAATAGGTCTCCTTAATACCTCTAGACATTTAGTGAGAGTATTTGCATAAGAGAGGAAGAGTGCTCTGTTAGGTGCCACGTTAATCAGAGACAGACCTTACAACAGGATCTGTCTCTAATCATGTCAGACTCTATTGGAACACTAATTGCATCAGTCTAGATAAACCTCCCTGGGCCTACTGTACCAGCAGAAGCCATATGTGGAGGTGACTGACTGTGAACGTTACTGTCCTCGCTAATTTGAGCTCTTGTCTGCTGCTCCCACCCTATAGACAGACGCATGGAAATAAAATCAGATACTTTTAATTAAGTCTGATTTCATGGCCAACCATGGCAGGAAGAGACATCCAGCCAAGATCCAGTGGAGAACTTAACAATGTTCATTTTTATAATGCTGCAGGCCATAACCTATATTTAAAGAATTTTAAAAAAGGTAATTTACTTGCAGGGACTTGTCTGGGTAATGGTTCGACTGTCTGAGGCAGAGAGGTGAGAGTGCATAATTCAGGGATGTAGTAAGATAGTAAGCCCTCCTAAAGTCATCTTTCTCACCGTTTTATTGTAGCAGAGAATAGTTTGCCTCTTCACTAACAGGAATCTTTTTACGGGGTGCATTCACAGCGTGTCCTGCATTTAATACAGTCAAACTGATGTTTTAGATTTGGAACCAAAAAAAAAAAATGCTGTTATTGCTTGAAAATTACTTAAACAATTAATTGACTATGGAATTAGTTACTTATCAATTTTCAGTTGGTGAGTAAATAGATGAAAGGAAGCCAGTGTGTGTACTGTGGATCAAAATTAAAATGTTGTTGTCTTGCATTGAAGCTCACTGTGGTCTGCTCCTGACTGTGTGTGCATTCTCATACTAGAAGCTGTTGCAGTACTACTGATCACCAATACATTCAGTTTAGGTTTGGCAGGGATTAGACATAGTTCGGCACTTCACAGTTTCAGCAGAGGCAGACTCATATTGACTTTTATTCAGAAGAACAAATTTTGGATGCCTTTTTCTGTTGTGAAATGATGAAAGTTGAATTCTGATGGGTTTTTTAGCAATACGATGTGACCTTCTTATGTTTTGACTCGCTGTTGTGTGTTTGTGTGAGATAGGTAGAGAAACAGACAGAAGATAAGACATGATTGATTTATTGTGGAAATTATGTTATTTTTCATGTACTTCAAAGTGATGTAGACCACCACAGGGGTAGTAATTTAGTCAGAACCTGATTATTTTGACTTGTTTTTGTGTTTGTCTTAATAATGTTCATAGATATAATGTTTTCACTGTTGTGTGATGGTCTGGCATTTATTAGAGTTTAGATTATTATTCTCGTAAGAAAAAATCCTGATTCCTGATTATATAAGGCTATTTCATTGATGTTTAAAAACATAGTTTTGATTTACAGAGTCTTAAACATGCACACATTCTCTGCTGGCCTCGAGGGGTTTTTGTGCCTGTTTTCTGTTTAATGTCACAAAGCTGTTGGCAACCACAGAACTGTACTTTTGCACAGTTTAGTTTTCCTTTCAGTAAAAAGCAACAGATTTTCATCTGATGAATTGAAAGGTTAGACAGTAATAAAAAAACGGAAGAAGGGAAATGTCATCCAGTGAGAAAAGATCTTAAAGTGAAGCAGCGCTGTATCTTCTCCTCTCTTCTGCACCCCTACCTGGCCTCACATTTAAATGTTTCATACACGCCCCTGGTAAACAGAATCATCCAGTGGCAGTGAAGTGTTTTAACATACTACAGAGTGCAGTTGGAGAAAAGCATTCTCATTACACACCAGTCTATCTGTTCCAACCCACACACATAATAAAAATCTCTTAGCACTTCATACAGACAGTTTAGGCAACTCGTCACTGCTGGGAAATGCTTGTGGGGTGAACTCAGGTTTTTAAAGTGTCTATAAGCTTTGTTTAGTAGGTTGTTGTGACACAAATCACATTTTTACTGTTTCTGTCCTGGGACAGCAGACAGAGAAAGTAAATGAGAAATTCAGTCAACATCTGGCTGAAAGTATACAGTTTACAACATGTAATCAGTCCTCAGTTGAAGACAAGGGGTTGGTATAAGTTCTTCTTTAATTCACTGCTGTTATTTTCCTTTTAAAGGCTTGATCACTTTGCTCAGTAGCTTATAAAAACAAATATTCTTACATACTGACGATATTGGCGTTATGTATGATATATGCTGAGTCATTTCACCCTTCAAATATATTGTACTTTTCACATTAAAGTCTCAGCACAGCTAGAAAAGAACCCAGAGGCCATGTCAGGGTTGAGTTCACTTTTTGGATTACAGTACAAGTCCAGAAGAATTTTCAAAAAGGCCAAGAGACTCCGCAGGTGCTGGGAAACAAACATGTATTCACCAAAGGTTAAAATGTAAAATAAATTGTATTTATTAAGTGTTCAGTATTTGTCAGATTTGAGGTCCGTATGCTAGCATGTTAACATTTAACACACTAGCTTCTGTGTTTTTAACTCATGCTGCCAGTTGATGTTTCTCACTACCTTTAGAGCTTGTTAGCATACTAGCATCTTAGAATGCTAATACCATGTTAACACTGGCATGTTAGCACGTAATCAAGGATCAAGGAAGTGTATTTATCATTATACAACAGGGTTGTAAAAGGTTGAACAACAAAATTGAAGTTTGCTTCATGCTACATACATAGAAAAAGATAATTTAATTTATGTTAGAATAACATATAATAAAACAATATATACACTTATTTATACACGTGTTCAACCAGGAAATAATTGCAGTGGATCTTTTGAATTACTTTAAATGATTTTTGGTCCTGTTTTCGTCTTGCACTCTGTCGGCATAGAACATAGTCCTGTAGATGTTAATGGAGCAGTTCTCTATAAAGATGTGGGCACAAGAGTCTTTGATTTTACATCCCATATCCTCTAGACCGGACATTAGCCAGGAGGAACTTTAAGCACAAGTCAACATGCTATCCCGGCTCTCTTCCTCTCCTCTTGGGGCCACCACAGCACCTGGCGTGGTGGGCTGGTTTGACACCAGCCGATTGGAGAATGCGCAGCTGTTGCCATAGTCAATATCGTGATCCAGCTGATATGAATAATTTTGGTTTTAAAATAAAATCTAATCAAACATCACCCAACAATGTTTTCAGTAATCAAGTGGAAAAAAAAGAACAGCTCAGTCAGGACCGCTTTCGTCAAAAGAAAACTTACTTTCTAAATGCAGAATGTTATATTTGGCGGTATGGCTCCGTTCTGGGACCTCCCTGCCCTTCCAGGGTACAGAACAGAGCAGGCATCAATGACACTAGAAATAACATTGATCAAATCAGATACAGCATAAAAGGAGGAGCTGGGGTGGAGGCGGGTTACAAAGCAGCTTGCAGAGGAAGCAGAAAGTGTAGGCAGGCTAAAGCAGCTTAAATCAGACACCCTGAATGAGATTGGGATTTCACCCATAGAACCTTCATAAAAATACAGCTAAGATTAAATATTATTTTGGGGGGCCTATGAAATATAAAACCATGCACAATAGATAATACTGGTGGCTAGAACGGCGGGGTGAACAAAATGAACTAATGACATCACGAATTGCTAATTGCAAAATATATAAAATATCTGAAAAACTCTAAGTAACTGATGGGATTTGGTTATTAATTTAAT